CAATACAATACTCAGATTTTTAACACATACTTTATTTAATAATTACAGACGTTTCGAGACCATGGTATGCGTCATCTTCAGTGTAATTTCAAAAATGGTTACTTATATACTACACATTCTTTAATATTTTATTTAAATTACTATATAAGCATATATATAAGTCAATAGTTTTGGGCACCAAATACTGCTTACATTGCTCGAAATATGGACACAATTCGACAAAAAATAGATTAGTTTTTGGGTCATAACTCCTTTAATTTCGACTCCATCAAAATTTGTAATATACCATTTGAAAGGTTAATAAAAGGGCTACAACTTTTTTCATCATAATTTTTATCGTAACTCCTCTCATTTTGAAACGGCGATCGGTTAAAGGGCTCGAGAGAGACTCTGATTGCGCGGCCTCGCACTCTTTAAAAATTCATAACTCTGTCAATTTTTGTGTGAAAAAAAAAAACAGTAATAAGCCATTTTTATCTATATGCTTTTATACGTATCATTTATTCTTTTTGAAATATAATGAAAATAAGTTTGATTTTAAAAAAAAACAGAAAAAAAAGTTTTTATAAAATTGTGTTTTCTGAAAATAGTTTGCACCAAAGTAGTGAATCTGCTACAATCCATCAAATTGTCTATAATGAAGTGAATTTTAGATAGAATGTGCATTATTTTAATTCTGGTGGAATTGGCGCTCATTAAACCATATGATTTGAAAGAAAAAACATTGTATATGCTTTTTATTTGCATGATAGCTCACTCATTTTACTCGCAAAAAACTTGTAGTAGCACTCATTTCAAAGCTTATGTTAAGCACTATAAAACCCAATTTAACCGAAATGCATAAAATGTAAAACCTCGCCACTAGATGGCTTTAAATACAACAATTAAATCTTGAATGAAATAAAAAACGACTTTGCTCTTTCAAATATTATTCCTAGAACGCTTTATAAAACACCGATTTATCAAGATTTTTATTGACATTATTTTGTTCATTACATGATTTTCTTTGTTATTACATGTATATTTTAGGAGATATTTGCAAAAAATCGAAGGAAAACGCCAAACGTATATGAATTTTTAGTGGCTAGTAACTTGAAAAGTATTAGTTTTTTTTTGAAAATCTTTAAAAAACATTTTTTTATTGTAATTAGTTCTTCTATCTATTTCCGACATTATTTTGATAAAATGTAATTACACAATTCAGAAGGGTGTCATCTCCCAGAGGGGTGGTAGCGGAACCCAAATTGTTTTCAATTTTGAACTTGAGGGTAAGATGAATCTATTTCTGAAATTTCATGTAATTCGGAGCACAGTAAAAAAATTTAGACCCAAAACGCTTCGTTTACTGCACTATAAAGGGTATAACAAATTCAGAAAGAATTAATATATAGCTTTACCGATAAAGGTACAATATCACATTGGATTTTTTTACCCAAAATAATGGCTTCAATTATGTTGCCTATAATTTTTATATATTCGGACCATATTTTAACTGGCTTTTAGTAATTTTAATATCTAAATTACATTTTTCTCACTAATAAATCAATATACAAAGATATACTTAAGTTTATATTTGAAGTGAATTAATTTGTCAAATCCTGTTCACATGTACTCTGTTTAACCTACGATCAACAAAATTATTGCAGTAAATAGAGAGGAAAAAAACATGTGTCGGAAATAGGCTAATCTTTATCTTAAGTTCAGAAATGAAAACAATTAGCAACTCCGTCACCACTCATCCCATTAATTGGATTATAACTCTTTTAATTCTGATTTTATTTTACTTGTAATACACTATTTAAAGGTAATAATTAAATGAGCTACAACTTTCTCTATCATAAATTTTACCAAAGCAATAATTAGTCATAAAACGACCTTGAATTTTCATCTTTATACATTTATACGTATCTTTTATTTTTTCAGAGATATAATAATAAGTAATTAGTTGTTTTTTATCGATATCCGATGTTATTCTGAAAGAGATACAATTGCACAATTGAAATCCTCCGGGAAGTGGTAAAGGAGTATAAATTACTTTCACTTTCAAACTTGAGAGTAAGATGAACCTAATTCCAAAATTACATGCAAATTGGAGCACAATAAAAATATTCAGACCCAAAACTTTCCATTGACCTTCCATTGAGTAAATATTCCGTATCCAATGACAAGCATATGAATTTTTGACACAATGAAACTTCTAGATAATTTTTTGAGATAGTAAATTATTTTTGTATTGTGATTTAGTGAAGTAAGGCAAAACACGGCTGCATTCAAAAGTTAAAAAATAATTATAGAATTACAGACTAAGTTTGATGTGCAATCACTTACAGATGCATGCGCAGACTGCATCACCTGTTTTTGGCACATCTCAGATGCTTTTCGGCAATAATAATGTAGACATTACATTTTCCTCATTTATAATCATGAATTTATTATATTTTAATATTGCCTTAGCCTATAAGTGAATAGAAATGTTTAGCAAATGACAGTCTTCATTTGTTTGTAATGTCAAACCATGTCTTAAACATTTTCAAGGTCAAACAATGATAAGCGGTTTTTTGTAATTTTTTCCATTTATCTCTACAATCTAACTATATTTCTATGAATCCAAAAATTCTAGAAAATTTATCGAACAAACTTCAGGAAGATTCATGAAAATCCGAATTATAGTTTAGGAGGATTAATCATTCATACATAGTTACTGCTTTTTCGCGTTGTTGTGATTGCTTGCCTTCTGAAGGACCAATTGTAAATACTTTGATTATAACTGTATATATTTATTTAATATTAATAACAAGTTATAAGTGTATTTACAATAATTTTAATACTGTTTTTGATTACGTATTGATTGATTGATCGATTTGTATGATTTTTCGATTGATGACTTTTTGTTTATATATCAATATAACCGCATGCTTTGATTGGCGCGAACTGTTACAGAAGAATTTTATAAGATATATATATATATATATATATATATATATATATACAAGGTGCGCCATTTAGACCTGCGGTATTTCAAAGTCGGTAATTATCAGTTTTTGACAAATGAACAAGATTTATTTAGGATATTTTATGCCATTTATTTCAAACCAGGTTTAGAATACAACGTCGATTAAATGACGACCTTCATTTGATACACAAAAAGCAGCTCTTTTTCGCCTGTATGTTACTTTTTAATTCGTCGATTTATAGAGGTGCGAAAAAAATCTTTATAAGACACCGCCATCATTGATACTCCGCTGTCCATCCTACAGCAGACAACGATGGACGGTAGTGTGGAGATTTTTACGCATTAAAAAAACTCCTTTCCCTTCTCCCCGCAGATGGTACGGGTAGGACTGGATTGAAACCGCGTTAGCATTGCATCAATCCAGTTCGGGCTGCGCCTTGCGACGGCTGCTTCCGACTACGGGTTCCTTTCTCCGGTTTTATCCTTCAAAAGGTGCTGTGCATAAGCTGCTACAGCTAACAAGTTTTCTTCTTGTTTCATCATGTAGGTCACAAGACTTGATGGGGTGAGCCTGGTGCCTATAATGACCTCGGCGTTGTTACGATAGCCCTTCCACCGAGTATATTCAAAGAACGTGTGCTCAGCGTCCTTGATTGTATCTGGACAGTATTTGCACATTGTCGTGCTATGCAAGAACATCTTAAAAAGTGTCTTGATAATCACTTAATAATTTCGTTATCTTGTTATGTTAATTATTATACTCTGGATGCAAGCATCGCCCGGAGCATGGACCAAATTGTTTGTCACATTTTTTATGTAATGACATGTTATGATTTTGATATATATATATATATATATATATATATATATATATATATTGATTGTTTCCTTTCCGAACAGTAAATCCAATAATAAAAAACAATTTGTTTTTTGAAGATGTTTAATAACGACGTTTCGGAACTAGATACGTTCCATCATCAGGTTTATTCTGTCAAAGATAATGTTTTTTAAAATTATTGATTAACATTAATTAATGATGGTTATTACAGATTATTTATAAAAATTATAAAGGAATGGATAATGTACCAGTGTATAGAGTAATAAAAATTAACTAAAAAAGGTTTTATATAAAATTGAGAAGCAAAATTTATTTACCTGTAATAATTTATATATCCATATCACTAATATTTCTTGTTAAAAACACTAGATTTCCTTGAAAATATAAAAACCTAATAAAATTATTATTAGGTTATTAATAGAATTATTAGGTTTCTATATTTTCATTTTTATCCACATCTCTCATCCAATGACGATACAGTTTCCACTATTTTCCGCAAACACTTACGCACACATTTTACTCTTGTACACACACGTAATATATACTGTAAGCTGACAACATGTTTGTTTGGAATAAGCTTTTTTATAATAAAATATGTTATTTATTTTAATTTTACAATTTTTTAAAATTTATCATAACTCGACGTTTTATCAATTTTTTGTTTTCATATTTATTTTCTCATGCAATTTCGTTTGTTTTTGTGTTTTTTTTTTAAATTTATTTGTATGGCGAGTTTCTTTACATTTGTTTATTTCATGGTTGTTTTTACACATATACTTTTCATATATTCTTTCACAATATATATTTGTTTTAAAACTAATTTATTAAATTGGTTAGATTTATGTTTTTTTTTTTGCATGTTTTTATTTATTTTTGTCTGTAATATATATAACATGTATTTTTTATATTGTTTTAAATTGTAAACCTGAAATATTTAATTGTAGCACTGAAGATGGGTCAAATCAAGACCCGAAACGTATGTTCTCTGAATAAAAAGATTTGTTTTTCAATAAAACTGTTTTTTAATTACTGGATGGATGCCCAAGAAACAATTATATCATATTATTTCACCATCTGAAGAAAAGCCTCTCGCTTTATATATATATATATATATATATATATATATATATATATATATATATATATATATATATATATATATATATTAGAAGGATATGCAATAAAGATAAAAAAATATTCACATTTAACTTACTCATGATTGTCCAATGCATTTTCCTTACTACATAAAAGTGAATCTCCGCATTGCAGTTTGGTGTCAGAAGTTTCGTTCAGAAAATATTCTGTTGTTATCTCCTCTGAATCAATATTAATTGACCTATGTTCTTTCATTGATGATAATGATGCATCCGTTAATACTTTTTCATTTATAACTGTAGGTCGCTCACTTGGGTCAACTTGTACCACTCCCTTAACTTCAGCTATCGCCTTACAGCTTGGTTTGCGTTCGATGTTATTAACCAGGTGCACTTTCTCAATGCCAGATATTAGAGGTTCATCTTGAGATCTATTCATTCCTCCTTCCTGTTCGTCACTATTTGTTTTCTTTTCACCGATATTTACGTCGTTTGATGTTAAATAGTGTTTAATTATATCTTCATCAGAATTCAGAGATTTTTTCATTTTTAGTTCTGACGCAGTCTTTGAATTGTATAATACCGTACTGTTATCGATACTGTCAACTTCATTATCTATTGCAACATCTGCGTCTTCAACTTTAATTTCTTCGCTAGTATATTCTACTTGATCCACTATTTTATTAGTTACGTTTGTGGCGACCTGCAAAGGTTGAGCAGTAATAGCTGCAGTTGTCATAGAAATAACATTTGATCTTGTTAAGGGTACTAATTTTTCAGTGTTTGTGGAAGCGTCTTTATTTAAAGTTTCAGAAATTGAGGGAATTGCCTCATTTTCTTTATATGTGTCATTATTATTGTCATTATTGTTATCATTTTTAATTATGCTTTTCATTTCTTTTTCATATTCGTCTATATCATTATTATTTTCTGAAATAGGTATATTTATTGTGCTTGCACTAGTTAATAAAGGACTAACTGATTTATTATCTGATATTTTTTCTTGGTTTCCATTAACTTTCATATTTTCAAATTCAAAATATTTTGAACTATTTATTTCAGAGTTACTGAAATGTGTTTTACTTATGGTTCTTATCGGTATTCTTGTTGGTGATTTAACTTGTTCATTGTTTTTGTTTTTTTTATCACTGTTATTATCACAGTTAACTTTGTTTACCGGTTTGGACAACGTAGTATCAATCTTAGCTAATATATCAGTGTTATTATTTATTTTTTGTTTGTTTCCTTCTTTGATTGGTGTACCTTCAATAGGAGATAAATTTGGTATTTTTAGTGAGGTATTTTTGTTCATTCTCTTCATATTATTGTTTATTTGTTTCTCTGTCAAAACTTCTTCTTTTTTGCTACCACAAGGTTTTTTTTTGTATGCTTTAGGAGATTTTTGTACTATTTTGTAAGAATAACTTATAGTATTTCTCATTGGAGATTTGTCTGCACTTTTTGAAGGAATGTTGATTTTGGAGTTATTTTTTGACAATAAATTTGATACAGAGACAGATTTGTGTTTAGATGGTGATAAACTAGTGCCACGCCTATTGATTATTTGAACAGAAGTTATAGTTTTGGCTCGTGTCATTGACTTATGCAATGGCGAAGAATCGGTTGAAAAACTTTTCATTCGTGGTATTTTAGATTTTCGGCTCACACACACTGCAGTTTGTCTTCCAGTTTGAGAGATTGCTGGTATATCTACCTCCGCATTACTGATTTCTTTGATTTTTGATGAATCATGTTGTGGTCCATTTATATTTTTATGATTTTCATTATTTTTTGCTGTATTAACAAACTTTAATACTGAATTGTTTGTTGCATCTGGTAGTACTTGATAACCTTTAACTTTATTGCGAGAAATTCGTGACTTTTTATCTTTCGACATCTGTGAAGAACGATAATCTATTATAGGGGATGATATCGCAATAATATCTTCAGGTGATTTGAATCCACGACCCCGAAAAGGAGAAATTCTTCCAGAAGAGAGTGGATCCGGACTTGTGGTGCGCGATTGGTTAGGCGTAATTTCAGCAATTATGGAGAAAGATGATTTTTTATGTTGTCTTGTACTAGGTTGTACCCTAAAAGAAACATTTTTATTAATTTAGGTAAAATTATTATTTCATGTAAATAAATAATTTTTAGCACAAAAACCTATGCTATCAAAAATGTAAACACACATATGTGATAGAAGTGTATTCTTCTTAAATGAAATCTTATTGACCAAATTTGCTACATGCCCTAAAAATATAATTTTAACTCAAGTAAATTAAGAAACTATGACAAATTTTAATTCATATTTTGATATTTTTTAATACAAATTTTGATTTTTTTATTACTCGCCATTTTTTGCATATTGTACGAATTTTTTCAAACTATCATTTTACTTTTTATGTTTTAATACAATGCAGGATGTTGAAAATCATGAATTTATTTAAATGTTCGAGAAAAGTGATTACAACATCTACTTCTTAGAAATAAAACTCTTAAAAACTGTGGTCAAAATAATTAAATATAAGACAAACCGGTACGAAGTATGCATAGAATTTGAATCCACTTTAATAAATGCCTGTCCCAAATCATTCACGGCATCATCTGTTTTTGGCAAGTCTACTGTGATGGGCTGCAAAAGTGTAAACGCTTTCTTTGACGATGTGGTGGAAGAAAGTTCAGTTGATATTCCTTGCTCATTTTTACTAGATAAAAGTTGTGGTCTTGGTATTGGTATCAAATCTTGAACCTTCACATCCCAGCCAGCATAAATTGATTTACCGAATAAGTCGTTGGAACTAAATGGCGGCTCCGAGAACACTGAATATTTTTCTCCATAAATTTCATCCTGTATGTTGTAGTGATAGTCGTACCGTGAACGTCTTCCTTTAAAGTTAAAAGTATATTTATTATTTTTTATTCAATATAAATTAAAAACTGTCTGTATAGACAATTAGCAATTGTGTTGATAAAATGAAATGATTTTGTTATAAAGCTACCCAGTAATAGACCTTTTACTAGTAAAGTCTTTACATTAAATCATTAAGATTACAGAAAACAAAATAAAAGAAAGAAAGAAATAATAATAATAATAATAGTCAAATTCAACAGTACAGTATAAGTTATCTTAGATCTATAGGGTTAGTTCTATAAATTGTGTTCTTTTGAGTCTAAAAAATGAGTGATGTCATACAATTCTGCCGCTAGTTTATTTGGATGATGATCTTTTATGTTTATAATATTGAGCTTTTTTTTGATTTCCTGATAGTTGAGATACTTGAATCTTGATGCCACGTAGGGGCATACTTCGAAGCTGATAAATTGTCTAAGTAGTTCATTTTAAAATTTTTGAATTATGGCTTAATTAATCTTCTTGGCTGCGCTCCACAGTTAGAGACCATGAGTCCAGATAGATTGGATAAAAGTTTCGTATAACAGAATCTTATTATGCGTAGACAGTTCGGAACGTCTGCAGAGAAGCCAGTCGAGAGATCTTCGTATTTTTTTTAGTTGAGTTCGTTTATTTTGAATATGTTTTCTTCGGTTAAGCTAGTTGGAATTGATTTGTTACAGATTTTGACTTGCGGTCATACACATGTAGAGTACAAGTAATTTGTATGGATTTAGAGCTATATATTTCAAATTTTCAATCTTCCAAAGGTGAATTTGTAATTGTGTTGAGCTATTATATAGGTCGGCAAAGGATGCTAAGTTAGTAATCAGCTATATATAATATAAATACCGTAGGAATCAGGGTGCTTACCCTGAGGTACGCAAGTCAGGTCGAGCATCATAGGTATGCACTAAAAACTTTCGGGAGTACAAGTATGATTTTAGTATTAGATACAATACAGTAGCAAGACATTTTTATTTTATATAATAGCCCACTATGCCAAACTTTGTTGAATGCTTTGTTGAATATCTAGAAAGACAGTCGAGCAGTATTTTTTTGAGTGTAAAGTTTTATTGATTACATTTACTACTCAACTAGTACTAGCTGTAAAGCACTGAAAAAACTTTGCTGGGTTGGCAGTAACTCGAAATAAATTATTTTTGTTGAAATGATACTTGATCCTTTTCAAGGTCAGTTATTCAAAATGTTCGGAGATTACTGACAATAAGCTTAATGGTCTATAAGATGATGCTTCATTAACATCTTTTCTGGGTTTCAAAATTAGGATTATTTTTGCAGTTTTCCAAATTTTATAAAAAGATGGCTAGAAATCTTATTAGTTTTCTTGTGGATTCTTTAAGAAATTTTATAGTAATTTGTTTGAAATCCTGAGACTTGTCCGTTTTTAAATATCTATTAACTTGACTTTCTTCATTAAACGTGACTTTCTTTATGGGCTCGTCAGATGTTAAGCCACTAAGTAGATAGTTGTATATAAATTATTTATTGTTGGAGCACTTCTGAGGCTCAGAATGAAAGGTTTCGTAAAGATATTGGGCGAATTGGCTGAAGAAATTTCCAACCGGTGTCTGGCAAACTCCCATCTAATCGTCCTATTGGTGGTATTGCCAATATGGATCTTTTGAGTTTTTTGTTTCCTTCTCTAGTGTATAATTAGTGTCAGCAACTGTGAGATTATGCAAGTAATTTCTTATATCCTAATTTTTGTATCGTGTGAGACGCGTTTTAGATGTTTACAAGCTTTATTAAATGTTGTTTTATTATGAGGTGATCTTGTGTATTGCCAGATTTTTCTCAATTTGCATTTAGTTGCGATAAGCTTTTTGATGGCTATAGAGCAATCAAGTGTATGAGGTTCGATCAGCTGAGGTGTTGAAGATCGAGCGGCTTTAGGCAACAATCTTGTGAAATAAGTGATTGCATTGTTAATATCTTGTTCGTTTTTAATAGGAATAATGCAATTTAGATTATTCTCAATAATATTGGAATATAATGTCCAATTAGTGAACTTGTTTGTTAGCTGCTATTTATATGAATTTGACGATAATGTAGTCGCATATTTTAAAATATAATCAGAATTGAGATAAAGACAATAGTTTATGTTTAATGATCTTTCATAAATATTTTTGGTTGTTTATTGAGGTCACACGGCCAACGACCCGACTTTAAACTGAATAGTTATTGCTTTCCAAAAGGCTTCATATTACATTTTCATGTAAACATGTAACAGCTTTTTCAAGTTGCATTTTTTTTTTAATTTCAATAATTATTACAACTGCTAATTTATTGACATCAAGTAATATTGATAAATAATAATATAAATTTAAATAAATAAAAGAGCAAAGGATAAAATTTACATGAAAATAATATCCGTAATATGATTTAATGTAAAATATAAGCAAATAATAATAAAAATAAAATTAATAAATAATATAAATAAAATTTCTGAATAATAAAATAATACTAGAAAAATAATAAAATATAACAAAATAACAATAATAGAAATAGTAAGATAATAATAATAATAATAATAATAATAATAATATTAATAATTATAATAATAATAGTAATAATAATAATAATAATAATAACAATAATAATAACAATAATAATAACAATAATAATAATAATTTACAAATTATTTAAGTTGCATGTTCGCTAAAATTATTCATACAAAACATATTCGAATATTATAAAATAATATTTCATTGAAACAGTATTGCATTTTAAAAGGAGTATCAAAGCATTATATTTTTTAACTGAAAATATCATCTATTATAACTTGCAATTTTTTTTTTTTTGAAAAAAAAAATGAATATAAAAATTACAGTTTTAAACATTTTAAAATATTGAAAATGATTCTGATTTAGCACATCAGATAGAAATGAATTTATTATAATTTTTTAATATGATTTTTAATGAGCTTTTGGTCTTTCTAGCGCATTCGTTTGATGAAAAGTCATTTTGATAAATAGTGCTCAAAATCGATATTGAGTAGTATCAATATTTCGACCACGATGATATTACGTTTCGATATTTTTTCAGTACTCAATATCTATATTTTGCCTCAATACTTGAGAAAAGTGAACCGGCAGAAAATGCAACAGAAATAAGTACACTAGAATAATGGAGACAGGAGGAATGTGCATCTGAGAAGTGTGCGCCTAAGGTGTGTACAGTGGAGGACGTTTCACAGCAAAAAATGTTTTGGAGAAGGGTATTTTAGAAGAAAGTGCATTATGACAAATAGCTTTGAATAAAAAAAATGAAAACTAGTGGGGTGGGTGGCATCGTGCCTTAAGGCAAATTGCTGGAACTTCCCGTACCGTAACGAAATGTTCGAGGAATATTGAATGTTTTCAAATAGATTGTTATAAATATTGTAACATTGTCTAATATTTATAAGAATTATATAAACTGAATTGCAGAGTTGAAATTATTTGTTCAAAGTATATTAGAACTATAGTCAGAATTAAAAATAAAATCTGAATTATTTTCGATATACAAAAAATTAAAAAAAAAAAAAAAAAAAATGAAACAAAATTTTTTCCAAAATCAATTCTTTTGTTAAGACAAGCAGAAAGTTCTTTGAATCAATTGAATCAGACGCTTAGTTCTCTCAAAAACTGCCATTTTTTGTACATTTAGCTCTGTATCTCCGACATGGTTGGGCCTGCCTTTGCGAAAAACTAATAACCCCTTCTCCCAATCATTACTAATGGAAAGTTTTTTAGATCATTCAAATCGTATGATCCTTTCTCTCAAAAACTCGATTTCTATTTTCTGCACTCTTTGCTCCTTATCTCCGTAACTGCTGGACCTGCCTTTGCCAAAACCTAATCAGCACATCTCCTTATCAATAGGAATCGAATGTTTTTTAAACCATTTATTTATTTATACAGCACAATTGTACAGTTGTAGATATCAATGGTACATAACTTAAATTAATAGATAACATACTATATTAAATGAGATATAATTTACAAAAAACAAATGTTCACTTAAAATCTTATACTAATTTTCACAGAATAGTTTACTGAAAACTATAATTTAAATACTCATCAATAGAGTAAAAAACTTGCTCTTCAAAAAATGTGTTGAGTAGTTTATAAAATTTCCTATTTTCAACTTCTCTAATACCTAGTGGCAGCTTATTGTAAAGCATTATGCCCAGAACATCTAAGGTATTAAATGTAGAGGCAAATTTCAGTGTGGGACCTTTTACAAGTTTATGTCTTGTGTCATAATAAATACATTCGGGATTTGGGCTTAAATTAAACAGGTTACCATTATTTTTTATAAAACAGAGGGTGATTAGAAGAAAAATACATGGAACAGGTAGAATCTTGTGCTCATGGAAAAAAGGTCGACAAGATGTAGTGGACGAAAGGGAAAACATAACTCTGATTGCTTTTTTCTGTAATTGAAAAACTGATGTTAGTAACGGTGAAAACCCCCAAAATTCAATGCCGTAAATTACATTAGAATAAAAATATGAGTAATAAATAGTGAAAAGGCTCTCCTTGATTACTTTCATTTTTAAATTACGAAGCATAAAGCAGGTTTTTGATAATTTAGGATTCAGAGTGTTAATAATGTGATGATCCCATTTCATATTGTTACTAATATTTATACCAAGAAATTTTGTATTATTCAAAAACTCATAAGTGTTATTATCAAAGATGTACGGGAAAATATCTCGACAAATTTTATTATTATAATTAAAAGAAATTAATTTTGTTTTGTTATTATTCAATACAAGATTATTATTTTGAAACCAATTGGAAACTGAGAGCATGACATTATTGAGTTTTTTTAATAGTTGTTCGTGAGTTTTTGCTTTAATGACTAAACATGTATCATCTGCAAATAAGATGAAGTCACACAGATTAGTACACTGGGGCAGGTCATTTATATAAATAAGGAAAAGAAGTGGTCCTAGCACAGACCCTTGTGGAACCCCCATCTTTAAATCCATATTGTTAGAAACAAATGTTACCCCGTTTCGATTTAAATGAACACATTGTGATCTGTCATTAAGATACGACTTGACCAAGCAATGTGCCTTTCCCCTGATACCATATCGTTCTAATTTATTAAGCAAAATTTCGTGAGAAATGCAGTCAAAGGCCTTGGACAAGTCACAAAATACCGCCACACAATAACTGTTATTTTCAAAGGATTCAATAATACCGCGTGTGAGGTCAAAAAGAGCATGGGACGTTGAATGTCCTTTGCGAAACCCATGTTGATTTTGGTAGAATATTTTGTGCTTATTGAAAAAATATAAAAATCATTTAAATAGAATTTTTTCGAAAACTTTGTTAAGTGAGTTAAGTAGGGAAATGGGTCTGTAGTTATTTATTAAATCACGTTTACCTTTTTTAAAAAGGGGGCGAATTTTTGATATCTTAAGGTGCTGTGGGTAGACCCCATCACAAATTAATTTATTAATACATAATAAGAATGGCTCAGCAAAATTTGAATGAAATTCTTTCAATTTAAAACTGGGAATTTCATCAGGGCCTGAGCTAAAATTACTTTTAAGGCTAAGAAATGCTTCTGAAATTTCATCTAGAGTTACCGGAAAAAGATAAATAGTGTCAGACGATCCTGTAAAAATTAGAGAAGGTACACTAATGACGCGATTGTTATTTACATTTGTAAGTACTGACGTAATAATAGTGGCGTCATTTACGAAAAAAATATTAAACTCGTTAACTATGGTTTGGGGTTCATAAATCTTTACATCATTAATAGTAAGAAAATCAATTTGTTGATCATGCTTGTCAATATCGATTTCAGATTTAATCAGTGACCATATAGTTTTTGGTTTGTTGCCAGAACATATTATCAAACTATCATTGTATTTAATGTTGGCTAAATCAACTACGCTATTAAAAATATCTTTATATTTTAAAAAATATTCATTAAAACCGATATCACTATTATATTTAGATAGTATTTCAAGCAGTTTCAGTTTTTTAAAAGAAATTAAGATGCCTTTTGTTTGCCAAAAACATGGATTAACTGCACTGTTATTGTTACATGATGACTTTATATATGGAAATGCAATATTAAATTTATTGTAGAAAATAGATATAAAATTGTTAAAACTTGAAATACCATCACAAGCAGTTGTTACAGAATTCCATCTTTCCTTATTAAGTAAATGTAAAAATATAATTTTATTTGAATTACTAAATCGTCTGATATATTTATATTGTTTAGGTATAATGTCACGGTGTTGTGGTATACTAAGAAAAATGCCGAAATGATCAGATAAAGTTGTGTTTAATATAGAAGAATATGAAACATTCAAATTAGTGAAAAAATTGTCGATGCAGGATGAACTTTTTTTAGATACTCGAGTTGGCTCAAATATAATCTGTTTAAGACCAAAAGAATATAATTGATTTGTAAGATTATTTGAATAAATATTTGCTTTGTCAAAATGAATATTAAAATCACCACAAATAATCAGTTTATTGTATTTATTATATAGCTCGTTAATAAGATCATAAAGTAATTGAATAAAACGTAATTTATTTTGGTCTGGTGAATGATATACACAGATAAGGCAAATAGAAAAATCTTTAAAAGTTATTTCTGCTATGCAGTATTCAAAAAGCTTTTCGATTTGAGAAATTTTAGAAAAAATTTGCTTACATTCAATTTGTATTGAACTAAAAATGCAAACTCCACCATATCCGTAAACACTTCTACAGAAGTATGAGCAAAGCTTATAACCATTGATTTTTATCAATTTGAGTTCAGTCTCTTTAAGCCAATGCTCGGCAAAACAGACAACAGAGGCTTTAACATCTTGTAAAACAATATCGATTTTATTTAACTTATTAGATAGGTTTTGAATAATTTGAAAAAGTATGCCAAAATTTAGATGAAACGAAAGTTATGTGATGGGTTGGTTATTATTTTTGAAGCAGTATTAGCCAAAACTGGAAGAGGTGGGATATTGGTAGGAACTATTTTCTTGACTGAGAAAAAATCAGTGATTTTTGACTGACTGGTAGATTGTGTGATGTTGTTTACATTAAAGTCTCTATTGTTTGAGTAAAGTAATGTGTTATTAATATGATGATTTTCTTCTCTGTGTTTAGACCCATTGCTATGACATTTATCTCTTTTCGGAGAAGTATGTCGAACATTATAATGTAGAAAAGATTTTTTGTAAACATTCAAATTGACTTGGTAAAGTATTTGTTCTGCGATAAATTGAAGATAGTTTTTATAATAATTAAAATTAGAAACTAAAATACATTTAGTTATTCTTAACGATAGTTTTAGATGATTGTTAAGTAACTTACAATTTAAAAAAATATTATATAACGTTGGAAAAATTATTATTTGGGCCTTGCAATTAGTAACAAAATTTAAAATATTCATTGATGCTTCATACGGATTAGTTTCATTGGATCCTCCAATTATGACAACAAAGTCATTTTCAGAAAAAGATTTATGGGATTTTTCTAGAAGCGAGTCCAGTTTTGCACCAGGTTTTGTAGTTAGTCTAAAATTAAACTTATGAAAGCTATCATGTTTGACTTTCGAAAGTAGACCCTGTCCCTGTTGATCAGCATAAACAAAAATGTTCGGCTTAATCGTTCTTGTAGCATAATCCATTGATACATTTCTATCCAATGCCGTTCTGTTGTGAGCGATGTGAATGCTAGTTGTTGTTGCATTTGACTCGGATTGCGTTTGGTTAACTGGGTTTTGCCTGTCTATTATATTTTTGTAGATTAATTTTAATGAAGCCAATTCACAACTAAAGTTATTATTTTTCAAACTGAGATTAGTTATAGATTCGTTTAGGTTTTTAATTTTGTGTTGATACTCCGAAATTTCTTTCTCCATTTCAAACATTTTTCCATTAAGATCATGTAATTCATGGTTTCTTTCATTAACCAATGTGCTTTCAGTGTTGTTATTATTATCTTTTTTGTATTCCATAAATTCATCGCTTAAGTCCTTAATTTTTAATTGGTGCTCTTCACATATCAATCTGAGACCGCCAATAGTAGATTCTTGATCACCATTAGTTTTTTTCAATTTAAATATTGATTTTTCAAGAGCCAAAATTTTTTCCTCAAGTTTTTTATTTGTTTTGAGTAGTCTTGTATTATCGCTACTCACATCTTTTATTGTGTCTTTAAGTTCCCCGTTCTCGAACTCGATTTCAGCTAGTTTATATTTAATGTCTAAAACACCCGTATCACTTTTTTCACAATCTTCATCAACTACATCACTATACATTATGTTTGATGATTTGTTAGTTAATTGACTTCTTGTAAACATTTTTTACAAGAAATGATTTGCAAGTGCGGGTTAACGAAAGATAAATGTAATGACAAAAAACGTGTTAGATGGCAGCACTAAAATATATATAGATAGGAATTAGAGGTTAGGAAACCTCGTGCAGATTGACATTAGATATAAATGAAATTAAATGTAATTGATTCTAGCGTAGATATATTGCAATCACTGTTTTCAACACTCAAACACTTAATTTACTTTTGAATATTTAAACGTTCAATTATATGGCTAAAACTATAGCGAAAAAAGTGAGGTTAGAAAACTTTGCATTCGAATTAATTATCATTGCCTCTTCAACAGTCACTTTTTCTTCACTGTTTGTAACACTAAGACACTTAATTTAATTTACTATATTTCAATGATATTTTATAGTCTCTAATACATATTATTTTTGCAAACAAATATACACTATGAAAACACGTTCACTCGCTGTCCAAGTGGTAGAGGTAGACGATCATTCAAATCGGTTGATCCGTACGCCCGAAAACGTGGGCGAAAATTTGTATCCATACATACATACACACACACACACATCCATTTTTTCTGAAGTATGCCAAAATGTTCAGAAACCTTCAAAACATCGAGAAATGTAAAAATTTTCAATTCCGATTTTCGGCCCATTACAATACACTACCTAGTAATTACATAACTTACCCTACGGGAAGTTAATAAAAAATAAAGAATCCGATGTTAAAGAAACTAAATATCATAGATTTCATGAAAGGCAAAATGGAAAGGACACAAAGTGCAAATGCGAAGTGGAAATGGCTATGATAAAAACTGGTACGAATTTGAGTTAATTTGGATAAACGAATGAAGAATTATGTCGTGATGAGTTATGATGTATAAGTGTATTGCTGTAATTTTGTAAGTATATCTCGCTAAGAAGTAAGGTTGTTGTTATACAATCGAGGACGATTGTGGTGTCAGGAATGGCTGAATTGTTCAGGAATATATGTATAACCCTTCACTCAATAAATACGTAGGATAAAACATACATGATGTAGATATGTTATCATTCATATGATTTGTAGAAAGAAACAACTTTAAGAAGATATATGTCAAAACTTCATGACAATCGGACGATTAGTTTACATGTTACAAAGATTCAAGTAACGCTACTTTTGAGTTTTTTGAAACCATGAATTCAAAGCAATTTCGGTTGATTCATCATTGTTTATTCATGGGTAAAAATACCAATGCTGCCAAAGTATAGCTTGATAAGTATTATCTGGACTGTTTTAAATCGAGGTAAATGGTAAAGAAGTGGTTGGTAGATTTTAATCGTAACCATACGGACACTGATAATGCTGAACGCTCTGGAAGGCCAATTGAGGTGGTTACACCAGAAAATATCAAAATAATCCACCAAACCGTTTTGGAAAACCGAAAAGTAAAATTGCCTGAGATAGCTGACACCCTAAAGATATCAATAGAACGTGATGGACTTATCGTTCAGGAATATTTGAATAGGGAAAACCTCTGTGCTAAATGGGTGCCGCGCAAACTCACATTTGACCAAAAGCATAACGAGTTGATAATTTGTAAGAGTATGTGTTGCTGTTTAATTAAAATAAAACTAAGTTTTTGCATCAATATGCCACCATGGGCAAGACCTGGCTTCAACACTATACTCCGGGGTTGAATAGACAGTCAGCTGAATGGTCTAGACACGATGACGAGAAAAAATGCAACCAATCAGCTGGCAAGGGTTTGGATTCAGTTTTTTGGGATTCGTAGGAAATGATATTCATAAAAACCTTGAAAATGGCCTGACCTCTAACTGTGACCATTATTGGAACATTTGAAAATCAAAATTAGAAAAACCGCCGAATTTGAAAATGGAAACCGTGCTGCTCTATCAGGACAAGGCACGAATTCCCGAATCCGTAAAAGCTGTGGTCAATAAAATATGAATTGGGCTTCGAATTGCTTCCCCACTCACTATATTCTCTAGATCTGTTACCTAGCGACCATATCCTGTTCTCAGATCTCAAAAGGATGCTCGCTCTGAAGAAATATTTGGCAAATGATGAGATGATTAGCCAAATTTTGTGGCTAAGTTCACTATAATCGAAGTCTTAGAAGAAAACTATATTGAATAAAATAAAAGAATTTTGCCAAAAAATGGGTTTTTCTTAGTTAGAATGATACTGATTAGTTTTAGGTAAAAATCTACCGAGCCGTTTTCTTGTAATTAACTGTTGAAAAAAAAATAAGCCGGTTCTTATAGAACTCTTTTTGGCTGAAATTTTACTGCCTTACGAGAAGTAGTTTAATTTTGAAAAATCATCAAAGTTTGAGAAAATGAGTAGTTTTTTTGACGTTTGGTAAAACTAAAATTAGACGATTTACTTGGTATAACGATAGAGTACTTGGCTTTAATGAACATACTAAACCATAAGTCCTACGGAAACTGGTTCAATTATAAAAATCATTGATTTGTGAAAATTTGCTTTTAGAAAATACTCCGAAGTCCAAGGATGGTTCTTACCTCAAACCCTGAAAACATCACTTTTCTTTTTCACATACAAACATATTCTAACTAAAACGTAGAATCAATTTGAGCGACAGGTTAATATGTAGACATGTAGAACTGGATGACAGGTTAATTTGTAGGCCGGTAAAATGGTAGATTGATAAACAGGTTGATAGGTAAATTACTAGACAAATTGTTAAACATGTAAACAGGTAAATTATTGAACTGGTTAATTGGTAGACATTTAGAACGGAATGACAGGTAAATTGTAAAACAGGCAAATTTGTTGACAGGTAATATGTTGTACTGATAAACAGGTCGATAGGTAAATTGGTAGACAAGTAAATTTATAGACAGGTGAATTGGTAGATAAGTAAATTGGTAAAAAGGTAATCTGTTGGATAACTTGTGGTCAGGTAAATTTGAGGATATGTAAAATGGTAGACAGGACAATAACAAGACGGATAAATAGGTTGACAGGTAAATTGGTAGACATGTGAAACGGGTTGATAGGTAAATAGGTTCACAGGTAAATTGGTAAACCGCTAAAACGGTAGATTGATTAACAAATTGATAGATAAATTTGAACAGATAGTAATAACGTTAAACTAAATGTAACAAATACACATCTTTGTTCAACTGTTTAATTTAAACTAAATCACGGCAAAGCGTGAACGGGTACCGCTAGTGTCTGATAAATCCATTTTAAGCACGGAATACTTTTAATCACTCATAAATAAATTTATTTTTTATTGATTAAGTCGATTATTTACACATATCGGGAAGTTTATGTAACTTGCCTCATAGCAAAATACCAATACCAACTAGTTATTATAATATTTTAACATATTATAATATTATAGTTAATATTATAATACTCAGTGTGCAATGCATTTGACTTAATGAGTATATCATGTTTTTATATAAAACAGAAGAATGTGTCATGTTTTAATGTGGATAAAATGTGTAATCATGTTGTTTGAGATCTTAATACAATAAGTTAAATTGTATTCTGTTCTCAATAATGAAATTAACAGTTGGTTAACAGTATGCAACTGAAGCCAAAGAAATTACTTTGAAAGCACCACTTTATGATGAATAATAGGCTTTAAAATATATTGCCATCGAGAGAGTATAAGTTTTTGAGGTACGCAAACTAGAACAACTGCGGAATGAAAAAGAAATCGGCGCTCAAAAATCGCAAGTTTAATGAAATTGCAGATATATTGCTGCAGACATGATGCTAAAAACAAATATCTACTATAGATAAACAAATAGATAATGCCATGTCATATATTTCGAAGCTTTAAAAGCAAAACATCGCGTTGAACTTAAAAATAGTTTAATTAGTACAATAATTATTAACTTTTACTCAATTTCAAAGACAGCAAGCCTTTCAATAAGTACGAGGGCCACTCACCCATCTCCATGTAGTTACTACCAGTATAGCCCAAAATTTGGAGCAAAAGCACAGTGCAATAATCCATGCTCATTCAAATTGTTAAACAAAAAATAATATAATATATATATATATATATATATATATATGCGGCGCATTAATTAATTAGTTCAACAAATAAGTGGTAGTAAACGAGGCGTGCAAACTTGAATAACCAGTTCATACAATGGCGGATCTTACTGCAAATGCGTACAAATTACAGGTTGTTTACGGCGAATGGCGTAATCAAACGAAATTACGAAAACGTGGAGCTTACACTGAACCTCGATTTAAGATACTTACACTTTTTCTTGGTGAATTGTAATTGCCGATGTATAAAAACCTATCATTGAAGAAAATTTGCTTCGGACAGAAACGATTTCTAGTAAAAACTAAGTCTATGGGCTGCGATTCTTCATATGATACCAAAATCAAATCAAGGATGGCGCCTGCACCGGGATTGAATGGCACTTATCGCTCCAGACACATACCCGGTAAAGAACATTTACAATTTCACAGCATTTTTATGATATGATTTTTTTTAAAAAATCGTTCTAGTAAATTCTTACAATCTAATTTTGGTCTACGAGGACGATATACTGAAAACTTCAATAACCACAACTTTCGGATTTCTTGAATTTTTTTATATGACCTTTGAGAAACTTTTCAAAGATTTATTAACAAAATCACACAAGATATAGATTTTTATTACTCTTTCATAGGCAGTTTTCTGGTAACATCTCATAACTAATAAGTGCAAAAAGGACATTTTTGGAGTATTTTTAGGAAGCTACACGAATGCGGTGTCGCAAATATCAATTTTTCGAATACAAAGTTGCTAAAGGTTGCATACGCTCGATTATGAAACTTTGTGTAGAAATACTTTTGAAACTATAAAATCGTTTAACCATACAAGAATTGCGCAGGCTAGAAATGATCACTATTTTCAAAGATGCATTTTTCGCACGGCTAAATTGCTAGCTCCATTTCAACAATTATTAAAAGGTAAAAACGTAAAAAAAA